TAATGAATTAGGGTCATTCTCAAAACCCACCTCGCCATCTGTGAGGGAACTGAGGTGCGGTAGGCTCGGTCTATTCATCAAGACATGCTGTCTTCCCATGTGGCCAGGGTTCCCTCTGTTCCCTTGCATCTCCTCCTCCAGGTTCTGCCCTTCTGTGGCCAGCCCAGGCATCCAGTGATGAAATGTGTACTGTTTTGCAGTGGGCAAGTAGAAGGCAGGTGGGATCCAGCTTTTCCTGGCTACTCCCTCCAATCTGACCTCCCTTGCCTGCTGACTTGGGCCCAGCACCAGCCACAGTGAACAGATCACCCCCAGCTCCCATGACATGAGGTCTCCCTGCAAAAACCACTGTCACTCAGCAATACTCTCCCTCAGATCCATCCTTAACCAGTACGGAGGCGTTCAATGGTTGTCAGATGCATGAATGAGTCGTTGGACATGTTGACTATTTTAAGCTTTAAATTTCGGAAAAACTAAAACTAGGTGATCTTATTTTTTCCAACCTTTGCTTAAAGACAAATTATTCATGTCTATTACAACAGAGGGGCCCCAATGATCACAGCATTTTTTTTTTTTTTTTTTAGTACCGGGGATCAAACTCGGGTCCTTACGCTTGCGAGGCAGGCCACCGAACCGCTGAGCTAAATTCCTGGCCCTGATCACAGCATTTTAAAATAACAAAGATGGTTCACATTGCAGTGATTACATTGTCTTTACAATGAATTGATTGATGGTGAAGGGTTGTGACTTTGTGCGTGTGTGTGTGTGTGTGTGTGTGTGTGTGTGTGTGATTTATGTTTATTTTAGGATAATAGCCACATCTCTACAGAAGGAGTAAGGGGAGGAGGTGGCTCATGCAGGGACATTTTTCACACTTCAGCCTCAGGTAGGCCCACGGCACTGGGTCACGGACGAGTGTGAAATGGTATGGCTGGCTGGATGTCAACAGGTCATATCAGGAAATCTAAGCTATTGTTACGTCCAACTGAACAAGCAAGCCAAGGAAATACAGGAGGTGCCGGACTACAGTTAGAAACTGGTATCGCTATAGAGTCCAAGGATCCCTAACAATGGTGGAGAAACTGAAGATCCAATGCTACTGTCCTACACAGGGGTCTAATTTGACTTTCCAAACATCAGGCAGCCACGTGCAATAGCCACCCTTTTGAATGAACTCTGACTTTTGAAATCTTTCCACTGAGTTGTCCTTTCAGACTGGCATCCAAGACTCCCTGTTCTTCTCAGGCTGTGAAGAAAGGAAGAGCTGAAGAGCAGGGCTGGGCAGTGGCCTGAACCAGCAGCCTGGCTTCCAGAGCTCGGCCTCTGAGGTCAGCCCTGGCGCTAAGTCCTGGAACGGCTGCCAGCTGTTTGGTTGGGAGCAGGCTTCTCACCCTTTGAGGCTCACTGTCCTCTGTCCAGAGGAGGCTCGACTGGCAATGTCTGCATGGGCCAGGCATGGGCTATGCATATCATTCGTTTGCTTTGCCTTAAGCATGGCAGCTGCACACCAGCATTTTCTAGATTTCAAAACCAAGTCACATCGTTCTTCTCATACCATCTTCAATCCTTTCCATCTTCTTACACAGATCAGGTTTAATTTTTCAGCGTCTCTATAAGCTGGCTATGGTTGTGAACAGCTGGAATACTCTTAGTGTCTGAGGCAGGAGGATCACAAGTTCAAGCCCAGCTTGGGCCATTTATCAACTGAGACTCTGTCTCAAAAAGAGATGGGGATGTAACTCAGTGTGAAGGCTCTGGGTTCAGGCTCCAGCGCTGCAAATTCTCATCAAAACAAAACAAAAAAGCCAACAACAGTCTCCTTATAGTGTATGTTTCAGATCTTTATCCAACTGTGAGCTATCAAAATAAAAAACCCTTCTGAAAGAACAACCAAAAAAATGATGATTATTCATGTTAGACATATAATATTCTTTTGGATAAAAGAGACAAAAATATTAATTCCCTCTAATTATCAAAATCTGTAAGTGAGCCAGGGATTTGGCTCAGTGGTTCTGCTGCCTGACTCGCAGGCACAAGGACCTGAGTTTGATCCCTGGTACCACACCAAACAAAAAAAATCTGTAAGTGAAGCAATTATCTTTTCACATGTACATATGAAGATTGTTACCATTATATACTGCAAACATGTACTAATAAAAATAAAGACCAGTAATAAGCCAGGCATGGTTATTGATACCTGCAATTTCAGCTACTTGGGAGGCTGAGGCAAGAGAATCACAAGTTTGAGGTCAGCCTAGACTAAGTAGTGAGACACTGTCTTAAGGGTGTGTGTTGGTGGGGGACTGGGTTCAATCCTAAGTCACACACAGTCTGTAATAAACTCGAATCATTATTTACTTTAAAAAATTTAAAAAGCCATTCTAGTGATTTTTGAGTTTCATTTCCCTTCACATTACAATCAGTTCCAGGCCTTGTGTAATTTCCAGCCTGCAAAGGATGAGAACCCAGGAGGCTGTGAGTCAAGAATATTTACAAGGTGTGTATGCTACAGAGCCTCTGCTCCAAGTGTAGTCCTGACATTTGGGTAGATACATGGCTTTGGCTGAGGGCCTCGTCCAAGAACATTATGATCTCAGGCCTTGCTGGCCACATCCCAGGACCCAGACACCCAGCAGGGGAGAGCACCACACACTTGCTAATATCCTGACCTTTCCCAGATTGTAGTCTGGGGGCTGAAGGAGGGAAAAAGAGGAGTTGGGCCTTATGCCACCAAGGGTTTCTGTCTGGGATAAACTCCTTACAACCTCCATGTCTTCCAAGATTTAATAGGAACGTTTCAACTCTTAGTCATGTTGAGGCATGGCAATAGGATGTAGAAATTTAGTGCCTGGTGGGTGGCACTTGGTCAAAGGCACTTATCACTTGGTTCATGGGATGTGGACAGGGCCATGACTGGAGGGCACTGGAAGACATGGCAGGGCTTCGGGGTGCCCAGTGTCCCGCCAAAGCTGGCCCATCCTTGGGCCTGGGGATGTATTTGTTTGGAATGGTGACAAGAACACAGCTGTACAACCAACATCTAGGGAAATGAAACTGACCAAAGAGTATATGTGGTACCTTTTATTTAGTCATTCTTATTTAGACGTGTGCTTTTGGAATAGCTTATCAAGTATGACCTTTTCAAAATTCAATTCTCACACTATATACAGTGATCTTAGTGCAAACACATTTTGACTGTGAGCTTCCTGCTCCCCCTTTTGATTTAATAATCTACAAACTGACATCACCACAAAAAACCCAGCTACTTCATTTTATTGGGTTGGAGACTATAATTTTCAAACATGATAGGTAAAGAGCTAGAATAAGGGAATGCTAAGAAAGAGTTACTTCAAGCCCACAGGAAGTAATATGTTTATCAGAAAATAATTATAACAAAGCCGCACTTTCTTACAGAAAACATGTGTCCCATGATATTATGGAACAGTATTAAGCAACCAAATATACTTTCATTATTTCATCTTCATTTAAAAATATTCACACTCATCTCAATCAAATAAACAAACGCAGAGTGCAGACTAGTGCAGACTAGTGCAACCACTATGGAAATCAATATGGAGATACCTCAAAGAGCTTGAACTGGAGGTTTCATTTGACCCAGCTATCCCTCTGCTGGGTATCTTTCCAAAAGAACTAAAAGAATCATATCACAGAGAAGTATGTGCACCCATGTTTATAGCGGCACAGTTTGTAATAGCTAAATCTTGGAAACAGCCTATTTGCCCATCCGTTGGAAACTGGATAAAGAAGTTGTGGTTTTTCTATAAAATGGAATATTATTCAGCCATAAAGAGCGAGAGAATAGATTCATTCATAGGAAAATGGATACATATTGAAGATATACTCCTAAGTGAAATAAATAAGTCACACATGTGTAAATACCGAATAGTTTCCCTGGTGTGAATATTCTGCAACAATGCATAAGATTCTAATAAGATTACTGACATTTAGAAATTTGAAGAAAGGAGCTAAAGGTGTAGGGAAGGTGTGATGCGTAGGGGAAGAACAAAAAGGGAAAAGAAAAAAATGTGAGAGAATGAAAAGATGAAAATAAAGTGTTTGTAGATGGGGAGGGGAGGAGGGGGTGAAGGGAGGGCAGAGGTAAGGGGAAAAAATGAGAATCAAGACTTGTCATGTAGAGGTACAAGATCCGAACAATGAATGTAACTGTACTGTATCCCTAAAATGTACCAATAAACTCAATAAAATAAAATAAAAATAAACAAACCCAAAAAAGATGAATTCTAAGGGACTCTGGACTGTCAGGGAATGTTGTAAAACAATCTGATTTCAGTGACTAAGAATACAGGTCATCAGAGGCTGCCCTGACCCTCTGCTGGCCCTAGCCACTGCTGCTCCCAGAGGGTGCAGCAGGTGAGCACCATCTGCCTCAGAGCTCCATGAGGGGCACAGAAAATATACCCCAAACCCAGCCGCACAGGGAGATGTCCCACCAGGTAGTTCTTCAGGTACAAAATCTACAAAGGGCAGTGATCCTGGAGAACACATTTATTTTCCCTCTCTGGGCAGAGATATATCTGGTTGCAGAAAAAGAATACAGCAGAAATACAGAAGAAAAAATACAGATTGAAGAAAAAAAAGAAGTACAGCACAGTGTAAACACTGAGGGTTTTAATGGAAGTCAAAACTCATGGTTTAGTAATAGAATTATAAAAGTGCAGATTAGCAGTTTTAATTTTAATGTCTTATAGCTTTAAATGTTTTATATATTTGGTGCCTGAAAACAAACTATGACTTTTTAAAATGCATTTTTTTGTTTCCATGTCTTTTAAAGGAACACAGATCAGGTATGTGTTATTATAGTAATCAAGAGAGTATTTGGGACCAAAATTTTTAGGTTTTCTAACTTGTCAGTGAAGTCTTTGATGGGAAGGTAGAGAATGAAAGCTTATTAGAAAGTAAACTGGAAAAAATGTATAGACACTTGAGAAGTTTTTCATGCACGAATAATTTCTCTTTCCTTGGGCATTATCACCCATTGAAAGAAGGGTGGTGATATGGTTTGTACCTAGTGCAATCCCAATGCAATGATTCTCACTCTAAAAACACTGTCTTCATAAAGCATTCTCCCTAGATTGACAGGAATAAAATATCCTGACATTACTGACCCTCTAGAAGTGGACAGCGAGCAGCAGTGACTCTCTGGAACCATTTGTTTGTAGTTCTCCTGAGAGCAGGTTACGCCCTGGTCCACTGTGCCCCCATGGCCCTTGCCAAGCCATCTTGGTCCTACTCAGATGCTTCCACTCAGTGTACAGGCATGTGCCTGGGTCAGAGATGGGATGGGATGTGCCACAGGAAAAGAAGGAAGTCAGGAACCACTAATTACAGTCGGAGGACACTAGACTGGGAGGAAAGGATGCATACAGTGACAGTGACCTTATCTTCTGTGACCTTTCACTGCCTCAAGGAATCTGACAAAGTACAGATAGGCAAAATTGGCTCCACCCTGGGTTTCAGAGGTGCATTTGAGTTCCTCCTACTTGGGCTTGGCTCTGCAAATTAAAACTACTTTTACCAATACAATGGCTTTGATTTCACATAAATAATCACAAACTTGATTAAAATGAATATATTATTATTCCAGGTTAATTTTTGCATTCAAATGTTTATATTTCATCTACCCTGGACAATCAATTGAGAAAAAACAGTCACCTCCAGGGACTTCCCAAGAACAGTGACTTTTTGAAACGACATCATACAAACTGGGCAGAGGAGAACGAAAGACTGGCATTGCAGTGAAGTCTTCATGGGGCTGTTTTCTTCAAGTCTCGAATCTGTTTAATCAAGTAGTTCTTCTCATCGGTGAACTGCTCATCATCTGTCCTGTCCTTTTGGAAGCTGCTCAGAAACTCAATGAGTTTAGGTTGATTTTTTAACAGAATCTCCACAATGGGCTGCGTTTTGTGAGGACTGGCCACAAACACCTAGAAGATAAAAAAAAACCAAATATGTAGGACAGGACCACACCCCAGGATCGCATGAGCCCTGCTTATTTCATGTGCTCCTTCTGACCTGAACATACAGAAGGTCCCGCTGCTACTTCCCTACCCAGCTAGGTCAGGAAGGCACCTTCCCATCAGTCTCCTTGGGAGCTCAGGAGCACATTGGAGTCATCTGGGTACATTTTGGACTTTTATTTTCACTTGAAGCATTCATTTATTTTAACTATGAATCTTTCAAACAGAAAATAACAAAACAGGCACCAATACAGTCACCACACAAACTGATTTTGACATTTTGTTTCAAATCTCTTATTAAGGAAATAAAGTATTACAAATAGAACCAAACCCCTGCTGTCCACCTCTCCAACTCTATCCCCAGCAGTGAGCTACCATCTCCAAGCACATTTTGACCCACTTCCTCCTAGCACATATGCTTGTAAACATGAACAACATACAGAACAATTTATTTTTTGAATAGATAATAGACTCAGGGACAGGCATGTAGCTCAGCAACACAGCACTTGCCTGGCAAGCACAAGGTTCTGAGTTCAATTCCCAGTACCAAAAAAAACAAACCAAGGGCCGGGGATTTAGCTCAGTGGTTCGGTGGCCTACCTCGCAAGTGCAAGGACCCAAGTTCGATCCCTGGTACCAAAAAAAAAACCCAAACTAAAACAAAGACTCAAGTGAATAGTCTCCTTTTCACTTTAGGAGTCACCACTGATATTATTTTCATGAATATATTGACCACCCCCCAATCCCAACTCAGCAGGGTAGGTATGGAATTGCGTTTTTTCACAAAGTTCCACAAAGATTCTAATGCATAATTCTGGTTGAAATTACAAGCTGGAGAAATATCAATTTAGCTATCGGCTTACAGTGTAGCTCAGTGGGAGAGCACGTGCCTAACACAGGAGAGGTCCTGATTCCCAGCACTACAAGTAAACAATTCAGCAACACTGTGACAGACAGCAATGACTATAATGACAGGACATAATTACTCAAAACTATAGTATGGCTTGGTGAACTGTTTAGTTACTGCTGCATATATGACTATAAGGCTAGAATAAAGATCAAAGGGTACCTGACCACTATAGAGCTCTCTGGTGTCTTGTTCTGGGCTCCTGACTCCTCCAAAGAGCCAAGGGCTTCCCAGCAGTACCTCTGTCTAGCGCCCTACCTTGTGGGCCCTGTAACGCACAGCCCTATGGGAGGCACAATGCCAAAGCTTGGTTACTATAGGGGAGAGGGGGCTGCAAGCTTCCTCTACTTCAGCAAGTGCAGACCAGGAGAAAACCCCACCAGGATATTAAGTACCAACAAGGGGGGAATAAAAGGTGACAGTGGCATCAAGAAACTGGAGATAACAAGATTCAGGTATGAGGCAGATGGGCTCCTGGTGTAGCACCATGTGAGCTGTTCACGAGCCATTTTACAAATGGGGGCAACAGAGAAAGAATTCCGGGAATGTGGAATGGACACAGGCTGGGGGAACAACCACAAGAGTGAGGGTGGGATGAGAGTTACAGCGGGGTAGGCTCTCAGACACTAGTTAAGTGACAGGTATAACCAGTGTCCAAATCCCACTTCTCCCTGTTAGCAGCGTCCACAAACCTTTTTAGCGGAGTTTCATCCAGAATAAGAGGGCCTCTACCTGCAGCGGTGGGGATGCGCTGGAGAATGTGCATATATGTGAGTCTTCAGAAGACCTTCTGTCATCCCTGCAGAGCAGGGACTTGTGACTGCTAAGGTGAAATGTCCGACCTAATTTTAGGGCCTGGTCACCGCCCTATCACTCTGGTTCTGGTTAGCTGCAAAGGACCAGGTATTTAACTCGGTGGCACCACACCTGCCTCGCAAGCGCAAGGTTCTAAATTCAATCCCTAGTACCACAAAAAACAAACAAACAAATAAACAAAAAACACTCTCTAGTTGTATACACGTCCTTACACCGCTTACTTATAGCCATGCTAGCTGGTTATTTTTACTCAGTGGGATAAGTGCTTCACATTCATCAGAATACTTAATCCACACAGCACTCTTGGGGAAGATGGCTGTTACCCCTATTTGATAAATAAGGAAACTGAGGCTTAATGAAGTTAAGAAACTTGACTGCCTGATACGATGACTGACCACAGACGGAGGCACAGCCAGATTCAAACTCTGGTGCCACCACATATTAGTGTATGATCCTGCAAACTTCTTTACCTCTCTGCACCCAGTTTCTTCATCGGCAAAGTGAGGATAGGGATGGCACGTATCATTAGGCAATCGTGAGGCTTCGTGAGAATGCTATGTGTATTCTATTCTCACAGGCACTGGAAGAGGGCCCGGTGTTGGCAGGCAGTCAGTGGGGGTCAGCAGCGGGGATCACTGCTGCTCCACACACACAGAACTGGTGAGACTGAAGCTGGGATCAAACCCACGGTGCTTGTTTGCATTTGTGAAAAACGATAAAATGTGACATTTTGCCAGGGGAGGTTCAAAATTGGAAGCCAAAATCCACGAACCTCTAGTATTCAACTCATTTGGGCAATTCAATCCTGAAAGAGTTTAAATATGATATAAATATGATACATTAATTCTGGATGTTTCTGGTCCTTCCATTAAAGGCCTTGGGGATTTTGCTCACTGAACCTCTGCATGTCCCTGTGTCTGCCAGTGGCTCACTGATCACCCATAAAAAATGCACCTCAGCCAGGCCCATAGACCAGAACAGGGAAGGAAAAGGCTCTCCCAAGCTTTCGCTTGGCAGGTCTAGAGCCATGAGCTATTGATATTTGACCTTTTGAGCTACAAAGTACCCTAAAGTCCTCTTTTTTTTTTTTTTTTTTTTTTTTTTTTTTTGCTTTTTTTGAGACAGGGTCTCACTATGTAGTTGAGACTGACCTGGAATTCACTATGTAGTTCAGGCTGGTCTCGAACTCACAGTGATCCTCCTGCCTCAGCCTCCCGAGTGCTGCGATTACAGGCATGCACTACCATGCCTGGCTTAAGGTCCTCTTAATATTAAAGAATTGCTGGGACAAAAACATCACAAAGGAAGCTAGAAGTACTTCAAGACATATGAGAACAAAACACAATAAACCAGAACATATGTATGCATCAAAAATAATACTTGGGAGAAATTTATAGTTATAAATACCTACATCCAAACATCTCAAGCAATAACCTAACTTTACCTTAAGGTACAAGAAAAAGGAAAGTCAACTAAACCAAAGCAATAAAAGGAAGCAATAAAGAGTAGAGCAGAGAAAAAACAAAATGGAAGACAGAAAAACTACAGAGAGAATGAAAAGTTGGTTCAAGCCATTAGCTAGAGTGACAAAAACCAGAGAAGATTCAATGAAATCAGAAATGGATGTGGGAACATTGCTAACAACCTTACAGAAACAACAACAAAAGAATACTATGAATGACTATACAGCAATGTGTTGGGTGAAATGACTAAATTCCTCAAGAAGAAAATATGAACAGATCTATCACAAGATATCAAGTCAGTAAGTTTTCAAAAATCACAACAACAAAAAGCCCAGGGCCAGATGACTTTACTGGTAAATTCTATCAATTTAAAGAAAAATTAACATGAATATTTTACAAATTCTTCCTCAACAAGGAACACTTCCTAACTCATTCTGAGACCAGCAATATCCTCACACTAAAGATAGGACAGTAAGAGAAAACTTACTAATATATGTTATGAATAAATATACAAAAAATCCTCAATAAAATACTAGCACACTAAGTCCAAAGGCATATTAAAAGAATTATATACCACATGGTTCCAATAAGGAAATCAGCCAGCCCACAATGTACTGGGTTAGCTGTGTTCCCGAAAGAGATCTATTCATGTCCTGACCCTTGGTATCTGGATGTGATCTTGTTTGCAAAAGGCGGTATACACAGTCATCAAGTTAAGACGAGATCATATTGGTTTAGGGGGCCCTTCCAATTACTGTTGTCCTTATAAGAAGAGTGAACTGTGGACACAAAGAAATACAAGGATGTAGACAGAAACGTCTCATGAAGATGGAGACAGAGAACTGAGTGATGTCTGTGCAAGCCAAGGAATGCTAAGGATTACTGACAAGAATCAGAAGCTAGAGAGAGAGGATGGAAAGAGTCTCCTTTCCCCAGAGTTTCCTACAGGAACCAATCATGCCGAGACCTTGTCTTTGGACTTCTGGACTCCAGAGTTGTAAGACAATAAATGTCTGTTGCTTAAAGCCACTCTGCTTGTGCTTCAATGTTTTAGAAGTCTTAGGAAACTAATATATGAATTAATTGAATGAAGGAAAACCACATAGTCAATCACCCCAGCTAATAAAGGAGAAGTATCTGACAAGATCCAATACCAAGGTCTCATGATTTAAAAAAAAAAAAATTCAACATGGGGCAACTGGGAATCTACTTGCAAAAGAATGAAGGGTGGGCCCTTACCTCACAACCTCACACCTTCCTTACACAAAATTAATTGAAAATCAAAACCTAAATATATGAGCTTTTAGAAAAATATTGGGGTACATGTTCATAATCTTGGATTTGGTCATGGTTTCTTAGATAGAATACCAAAGGCACAAGCAGTGAAAAAACAGATAAATTGAAATTTGTCAAAATTTAAAACTTTAAACCAGGCACCTGTAATTCCAGTTCCTCAGGAGGCTGAGGTGGGATGATTGCAAATTTCAGGCCAGCCCAGCATGGCCAACTTAATGAGACACTTATCTTTAAACAAACAAACAAATAGGGCTGGGGATTTAGCTCAGTGGTGCCATGGCCTGCCTCACAAACACAAGGCTCCGAGTTCGATCTCTGGTACCAACAAACCAACCAATCAACCAAACATCAAGCAAAAAGGCTAGGAATGTAGCTCAGTGGTAGAGTGCTTGCCTTAGCATTCAGGAAGCCCTGGGTGCAGTAGTGGAAAAAAAAATTTAAAATTTTAGTGTATTGAAGGACACTTCATAGAATAAGAAGAAAAT